ATTCTTCAAACCTATTCTCTAAAAAGCTAAGTATTAAGAGTAAAGTTTACTTTTGCAGGTTTGAATAACATATTATTATTTAGCAGAAGAACTAATACTAATCCCTACTTCACACAATATATCTAAAGATTGCTTGGGATGATTTTTATTCACCAATTGAATACCATAACTCTCCAAACACAATGAAAAATCTCTACTTATTCAATCTTTTTCCTCTCAACCTTAAGTAAATTTATCGGCATAATTTATACTCCAAATTTAACCCATTTTAGTAATATCAACGCATCAAACGGCGTTGCATTTCGTTGCATTTCCCTTGACACCACATAAAAAAGTGAGTAGAAATTGAAAGAAATAGGAAGACTGAGGTGGAAATTTAGCAAAAACAACAGCATGATTTCGGCATGCTCTAAGCCCTTTTCCCTCAACTTCGAACTCCATTTTTTTGCGACTAGGTCCTGAGCGTCGACATAACTTAATGACGTCGTTTTATGTTTCACATTGGCAGCGGTGGCAATAAATTTCCGGGTCTTGGTTCTTGCCTCAGTGCTGTTTTCTCTGCCCCATCGTGGGCCTGTTGTGCAATGCAATTTCGCCCTAACGTGGCACCCACACCCACGCCAAAAAAATCCGGAGAATTCATTGCACTCGGTGCTGGGATTACCGGAGTACGACGTCTGCTGTGAAAGTGAAATTCCTGGGACCTGAGAAACGCCCAAATGCATGGACGAGGATTCAACACCTGGGCAAATATTTCACATGGCCAGCCAAGGTGAAAAGGTATGTAAAAGTGTGGAATGGCTTAGGTTGATTTGCAGAGTGGTCGGTTGAAATATGTGGTAATTGCTGGGCAAACGAACGCTTTAATGTGCTCAAAGCCAGCTATAGATTTAGTTAAATTGGTTTAAAAAAATCTCACTCCTGTTTAATATTAATATTTGCTTTAAATAGTCATAAAAGTCTCTAAAAATATATAAATCTCTGCATTTATCAATATACTATATAATATAACTATACCTACATCTTTTGTACTTTTAAAATAACAACGAAGCCCAACGTAAAAATATGCCCATTGTATGCTTATTGAAGAGCCATTAGTCAATTAAAATTAAAAACAAATTCAGCGAACAATACAAAAATGGCGGCTGTCAGTTGCATTAGTTAAGTGAATTGTTTTTTAATTTCATTGGTACTACACCAGAGTCCACAAAACTTGCCTGCGGTACTTGATATGCCAGACACTGAAAGTGACAGAAACAGAGAACAGAACAAGGCAAAGTTGAAAGGGGGGTTGCATTTTCACACCTGAATGTTTTGCAAGTGGCAGGTGGAGCTTAACTAGACAGACAGTTGGTTTATCCGAAAGCGTCAAAGAATTCTCGGCCTCATTGTGGATAAACTGTTTTTCACTTAGCTGTCACTGTTCTAACTTCTCTGGAATTAAATCACATAACAAGAGCTAACCGTTCGTAAAGTTTCTTATGTATCTGCTTGAAAGCCAGAAAATTGAGTAAATATCCCAGGTAGATTCAGCACAGACAAACTCTTCCGGAAAATTTGTTTAAACACTCAAAGGCACTTGGGTAAAATGCTCACGTAGCCACCGCAAAAGAGGTAAAAACTTGAGGGAAACTAACAAAAATAAAAAGCCCCACATTACACGGCCAATTGGGAACTGATTGGGTCTGAGCCACTGAGGTGAATACGAGTGCAGCTCGACCAGATTGATTGCTGTCTGCAGAGCAGGTACAAAGTAAGCCCCTTTAACTTGGCTCAACGCTCAACCCCTTTCTCTCAAATCAAGCCTCGAAATCCTGCCTCCTTGTGATGTGAAGTACATTTTGCCGCTGGGCCGCCGCAAAGTATGCAGTGAGTTTGCACTGCCGAGTTGTGTCGTGTAATTCGAGCTTTATAAATAAGTAATTAGCTCATAGTGCACTGACTCGTCAAACATTGCATCGCACACACACAAACACACACACACTGATGTTATCCTGGGCCACATAAACATCCTGCCACACCATCGCACACCGCATTTAATGGCCTCCGTGAAGCGCAATTTAGTTTTCAGGACCTTTGTTCTTGCATAATGATGCTGTAGTCCTATCTTTCATACGTGCCAAACATTGCATCCTTTCTCCACGGTTTCGGTTTTCGCCATAGTTGAGGAGCAGCGACCTTCGAGGCTCTGAACAAAAAATAATTGACAACTGAAACGCAAACATGGTAGAGAAACAACCCATCAAGTTTTTGCTAGCTTAACACGCCTTTATGTGAACTTTCCTTGATCATTTAGAATGCATAGCTTCGCTTTTGGAACTTGGACTTAAAAAGCCGCTTTTCTTTTAAGTTTTCATAAGAAAGCCAAAAAGTATAAGGTTTTTTTCAAATTGTTGTCATAATCTTTTTTGGTCCTTCCTTGTTACAAATACGTGTAAGTTATAAAAGATATGATAATAATAAAACATAAAAAATATATAATATAATTTTATATATTTTAAATAAACTATATTTCTCAATTCAAACATCTTGTTAACTAATGTTAAATTAGAAATAATTGAATCAATAATTAATTTAATATTTTCAAATAACGATACTAATTAAAACAACTTACCTGAATTTCAGTAAGTTAAAGTTTTATCAGAATGCAGTGAAAAACAATATGGTTGTTGTTCAGCCATGGGCAATATGTTTCGATGAAAATCCCGTCAATGCATCCTGTACAAGGACACCTGAAATACGCTGGAAAGGAAGTTGTCAGCCTGACGACTTAATATTAAAACGAAAGAGAAATAATGACAGGAGAGTGGAGTTTCAATGGTGCTGAAAGTGGGGATTGTCGTTGGCATATACGGCCTACCGTTCAATCAGGCAATTAACATTAATTATGATATTCGCCCGACAACTCATTTTCCTTTGGCCGTATACTTCAACGCATTCTGTTCGCATTAAAAGCATTTTTGCGGGATGGGAACCCGAAATTGAATTTCGGTTTCCTTTCTTTCATGGTTTTCATTACTTTTTGCCTGCGACAATTTGCGTTGCTGATTTCCCCATTGGCAATCGAGGGGGCTGGTAATTAATGCGGATTCCAGCGAAGGGGGTATGGGAATATGCGAGTCATCAGCCAACAAATATGTGAATATGGCAATCGATATGACAATTTGGTGCATCCATTTTCAGCAACTAATTGGAAGGTAAAATCTCTGGAGAGGCGGAAACATGTTGTGCACTTTCTATTTGTATGGTAAATATTATGTTTTAATTACCGCCATTGAAAACATATATTTATTATTCTAAAAAGTAAAACTAAACAGCATTGCAAAAACTTGAAATCCTATTAATTTGGCAAACATTTTAATTTAATTTTAATGTGGGTGGAGTATATCCATCAATTTTTATACAGATATTTTTAATAGAAAATTTGCATATATGAGCCAACAAAAATAGATATTAAAATCGAACCCAAAATATAAGATTATATATTAGACCTTCGTACTCTCATTTTACTCCACTTTAAACGTTAATTTTACATTTAATCAAAAACTATATAGCTATGGGTAAAATTGACAAACAAAATTTCCAATTCAATGAGAACTATTTACTTCCTTTATTTTTTTTTACATACCGAAAAATTCCATCTCTGATAACCATTTCATTTGGACGCAACCTGGTAACTCATTTTTTGCCTTTCAAAGAGAATATGGCGTGGAAAATGTATGGACGACTTCTACACATTTTCAAACTCTGTTTTTATTTTTGGTCCCCTGAATGTGTGTCACAACGCACATTCGGTTCGTTGCCTTTCAAAGTCAATTAGTTTAATTAATTTGACTTCATGGTGCCATCTCTTTGTTACCAACAAAAAAATATTAAAAAAATTGAAAAAACTTTTACCAAGCAACCAAAGGGAAATCCCATGTTACTCTTTTTTTCGAGGAAGTGTGTAATAATTTCGACAAAACCAAACGCAACTGTGTCTCTCTCTGTGATTTTTCACTCAACACTTTGAAATTTAAATTGATTTGAGTTAAGTTTAAGCCAAGTTGTTAAACAATTTACGTTGCTCATTGTTCGTCAGTTTTACTTAAAATCCACCTTCTACCCTATTGCCGTATGCCATGTACTTCCATCCAACTACCAATAAGTGGATTACTCTCTTAGTTGAGTGGCTTATAGAACGGCAGAAAAAGAAAAACTCAGCGCGGTAAATAGACAAAAAAAGGGAAGAAACTGAATTGACTGAAGAATCTGTCTTTCTTTTACTTAAGCCCCCGTTAAGCGGCAAATGTGGTGCGGCTAATGCGTGTATTATTGGATTTATTATTTCACGGCAACTAAACAAAGAAGTCGGTCCCAGTACGGTTTAATATAGAACGCTGTGCTGAAAGTTCACGAGAGTTTTAAGTACAGTATAAAAGGAGAACTGCAGACAAGAGTTTGCCTTTTTTTATTCACTCATTAAAAGACTAAATGCTATAATCAGACAGCCACTTAAGCCACTTCCTGAATCAATTGGTTTGTCAATTCTTCTTTGTATGCATATGCAAATTTTCAACTTCAGTTAAACAAAATATAATTGATAGAAAACAACTTTGAATTATTCAACTTCGGTGCTGTATTAAAGAAAATAAATTAGCCTAATGACAATTTAAAATGATAAAACCAGCTTAGAAAATATTTTGATTATTAAAAACAAAATCCAAATTCGAATTTAATTTTAAGAGTTGTTTCCAATTTGTATAAAGGTTTTTAACACAAAAGATTTTATCAATTAAAAAACGAAATTAAATAAAATGTATTATTCAATATTATTTTTGGTTAGCTTTTTGTCACTAGTTAGTTTTTATCGTTCTCAGATTTTTTAATATTATTTTTAAATAAGTGGAAAAGCTTTAAATTAGCTACGGATTAGGTTAATTAGTAAATTAACCATTAAATTTGATTATAATAGCGCTTCGATATTCACATTTAATAACTTGCATGCGGAGCGGAGACAATACTATATTTAATACCATGATAAAGTGGTTTCGGCTGCTATGCATTATCTTGGTGATTCATGAATCCACAAGTAAATGGTGCCAACAAGACCTCTGCAATGGCCAGCACGTCCTTTGCAAGGATAATGGGGTTAGTACTTCATTGGAGCCCTGAGAGGAAAGAAACCTGCTTAACTTTTCTTCCAGAAATTTCAATCCACTTGCCCCAGGGATGCCACAGCCACCGTGAAAATGAGCCAGGATATGATTAACATAATCGTTGACAAACACAACGATTTCCGCAATAAGTTTGCCGGGGGTATAGGTAATCATGCGAGGGCAGCGAGAATGACTACCATGCAGTGGGATTCGAGACTGGCCACAGTTGCCGATGCTCTGGTGCGCCAATGTCAGCCCATCAGAGATCAGTGCAGCAGGACTAAAAAATATCCACACACCGAAGTCAGTTACTCTCTGGAAAAGTACTTCTGCATGACAACGAAAAAGAACGCGCTGATAAAACAACTTGAGTTATGGTTTGATCCAAACAGTAAGGAAGACGCGAAAAAATTATTTTTATCTCTGAAGGAACAGGAGCAGTAAGTCCAGCACAAATACTGATGATGCCAACATTAATAATTGATATTCTCCAGGGAGTTTTCGAAAAACTACTTTCAGGTTATCCGAGATCGAACCAATCGTGTGGGCTGTGCGATAGTTGAATTTATTAAGCCAAGCTTAGTCCACCAATTACTCAAGTGCGTTTACAACTGTGGTGTGAGTCTCTGCGAGGACAACAATAATCCTGTCTACGAGCAAACTGATAACGAGGCGACTGGAGAGTGTAAACGTGGCTCAAATATGAATTATAAAAACCTTTGTCACAAGGATGAACTTGTCAAAAACTGCGATGGCGGACATCTCTTTGTCGTCCATGGAAATGATGACGACTATGAACCAAAGCCTACTAAATATCCACTTCCGGAATATATAATAGGTTTCTCATTGCCACCAATCCCAGACAACCCTCCTATAGAATATAAATCCATGCCATATGACAATAATAAGAAATCTGATAGTCTGGCATATCTCAGAGATTTTTCTTTGCCAGAAATACCAGATAACCCTTCTATAGATTTTAGATCCAACCCCTACAAGGCAAAACAAAAACACAAAATTGAAAAAAATTCAACGCTTTCATCGATAGCAGGCAACCATCTTATAAAATCAAGATCCAAACTCTCTAAAGCAAAACAAAATTTAAAAACTTAAGAGATTGAACAAAATCAACTAAAATCAACTAAACTTCCAGCATAGATCATAATTTCTAATATCCAATAATACCAGACAACCATGTTGTAGAATCCAGATAAGAACGGAAATAAAATAATAAATTTTATTAAAAAAAACTTAATGTAAATGCTGTTTAAAATCATAGTAAAACTAGAATCCCAGCTGTACAATAATACTATACAATATATTTCTAGGCAAAATATTCGCATTGCAATTGAATTGCTAGTAGACTAATAAAGTGTATAGAATTGTAGAAATTCAGTAAATAATAAAGCAAATACGTCACAAAATAATTATAGTCAATCAATTTGTGCTACCAAAGTGTTTATTAGTTTTTTGAATTTTAAATGTTAAAATCAGAAGGCAATAAGTGAAGGTCTACAAAATCTGGGAACGAAAAGATAAGCGCAAAACCGTAAACAAATCAGATTCATATACGATTTGTAAACATGGGACGATTTCAACACCACTTTTCCTTTTGCCATAGTTGTGTGTTATCTGTGGGAAATGAAGTTTTGTAGGGGGAAACAAAGACCAAAGGGTCAGACAAAAATATGAAAATATACGAAATTCAGGCTCTCATATGAGAGTGGTTTCGGTTAAGGGGGATCCTGTAGCCGCCGTATGTGGCACCTGGGGAAATCAAGCAACCAGGACTCTCATGCAGGCCTCATTCCGCCACTTCAACTGCAACTGTAAATGAAATGAAAACGACCACAGACACATAAGAAAATATGAAAACAAGTTGGGTTTTCCTCCTTTTTTGCTGTGCTTAGACGTTTTTGCCATGAAAATAGTTGCATTTGACAGTCGACTAAAGTCCGGAAAGATATCAAGAGAGAAGACTCCAAAAGGAGCTAAATTTCAAAGGCTATCGAATTTTCCGCCTTGTATTTCCAGTTCGATTGGGATTGTAAATTGAAAACCAAAATGAATCAATTTTAAAAAAAAAAAACTCAGAGGAATGTCTTCAGGAATGTTTTCAGTAATTCCTTATGAGTTTTTGAATATGAAAAGGTACGAATGCTGAATGGAATTTATGCATCAATAAAACTTGCTTGAAGTTTTACAATGGACTGGAAAATATGTCAAAAAATAAATATAAATAAATAGTAAATATAATATAAAATTGCCTTAAAAAAGATGTAAGTGCCAACTTTTAGAATTTTTATTGGACTTGGAAAATCATTTACTTTTATGTCAATGTTTTTAAATTTAATTAAAAGTTTGAAGAGAGAACACAATTTACAAAACAAGGAAAGTGTACATTTATTGTAATTATACATTATTTGAAGGGTAAAATGTTATAAGTGAAATAATTAATTAAGTTTTAAAAATGCCCTGCATTTTAATGACAAGTTAACCTGCTCAACCAATCTGACTTTCAATTTGAACTTCTACTGAAAAGTTTCACTACAAAGAAGTGGGTGGTGTCTTGCCCCTAACCTTTTCCCCCCTCCCCCCTGAAATGCTGTCGCAATGTATTAAAAGGCCAACGTGGCTAACAGCGGCGGGTGCAGACTGGCTCTAACCGCAATTTATGTCGACTTCACTTCCGGTCTGTGGGAAATAACTCTTGTTAGGCTGCCAGGAGCAAGAAGTCCTGCCCTGTTGTGCACTGTGTGTGTGTGTGCGGTATTTCTTGTCATCATTTTCAGGCGGCTGCAAATTAACTTGCATAATTTAAGCGTCACTCGGAAAATGTGGCGCTCAGTTCATCTCGGCATTTAAAGCTTGGCCAAGACCATAAAAGCCTTTTTGGCCTTGCCTGTTAAATTATGAGCGCAGTGGGCGCATAAATCAACACAATGCTCCGTTTGCTTCTTGGCTCACTTAATAAGAAATTTGCATAAATGGGCTTTAATTGGATTGGGCGGTTAATTGAAAATGGTTAACTATATGTGTGGAATATTATTTTTCCATATTTTGGTAAAGATCATATCAAATGGGACTAGAGCACAAACAATTTAAAATGCTCATTCAATAACTTTTATTGGTAGTTTCTCATTGGGAAAGGTCCAACTTAGCATTTATACCTAGGCGTATGTTTTCCCGGAGCATTCAAATTAAAGAAAATAAGAAGCTATTTCCATGCTGTAGGCATTACTCCTCATTATGCATAGTCACTATAAAAATGACGACACTGGTCTCTTTGTCCTTGGTTGTGGCGCCAGAAAAATGTCAAGTTTCGGCACTCACATAAATTCTATGGCGCGTGCGGTTTTTGGAACTCTAGTTCTGCTAGCAGTAAATCTGCAAATTTTTAAGCACTATCCAATGACTGGCACTTGGCAGCATTGGGAATTGGAAGCAAAGAAAAACTGAAAAAGAAAAATTGAGGAAAGGGAAATAAAGTATAAAATGTGAATGCGAATGAGAATGCTGGCGGCTTGTTGCCGGCATTGAAAATTTACGAGTGACACAAATGACCGTCCTGCTGCATTGCAGTTGGTTGGAAATGGAAAAAGGAGAAGCTGGTTTAATGACAAGACAAATTATGAAATTCTTAAGATGTTTAACTTTTTCTAGGCAAACTTTCAGATAAAAAATGAGTGTATAAGTACAGAAAGAAATAGAGGGTAATGGGCATTGAAGATTTATATTATTTATTTTATGGCTTTGTGTTGCGTTTTAGTGCGTCCTACTTTCCGAATAGATAAAAGAAAACAAATCCGAAGGAATATATAATCTTTATGTTAAAAGCGCACTTAACTTAACACAAAACTGAAGATAGCTTTCTGGAAAAAACTAAAAAGGTTTAAAATCTAATAGACGTCTTATAATGCTATTAGACTTATTTGGTAATTCAGATATGGTTTAAGCAGCTTTATAATTCTTAAATTTTGCCCTACTTTTGAAGCACTATAAAATATCATTAAAATGTGATATATTTTCAAGTGTTCAGCTTAAAAAATAATTTCTCCTGTCGACAAGTGCTATCCAAAATTAACCGAATCTAGTCTTTACAATAAAGCGTAAGATTTAAAGGCAATGCAATCTCACGGAAATCCGCAAACAAAGCCGCCTGTCGTTCATAGAACTTGGTCCTGAGTCCAATCATGGCACAACAATAAAGCACAAAACCGAACAAACCAAAAATCAAAACAGAAAGCGGCAAAAAGCGACCAAGTTAAAGACAATGGTTTTTGCCACATATTGTCTCCAGGCGGACCACAAAACTGCACAGAAAGAATGAAATGGAGATGGAGCAACTGGGACAGTTCGAGTCCTCGATTCACATATATGGCCATGTCAGCAGAAACATTAACAACAATAAGAAATATCTCGACCTATCGAAACTGAAGTGACAAAGTGTGCGGCGGCAGCGTCTTGCCAGCCAGACCCATTCATTCAGATACATCCTGTATTGGGTAGCCCAAGTCCTCGGATCCTGGCCACATTGACGACTATTGTTAACTAGGAGAATATTGTGCCTGACAGGAGTCGACAACGTGCGGCCAAGATTGATGTGGGTGATGGCTACGGATATTTGTATTTGCCACTCGAAACAATAAATCCACTCGAGGAAAACCCAAAAAAAAAAAACTGAATCAAACACAATAACCAAACGGTAAGAACCTTAAAAAGAAGGAAGAACCCATCAACTGGAAGGAATCCAAGTCTAAGCAGTGGGACCACAACTGAATTATGGCCAAAGTTCGACAAGGTGGGCCAAATGATTTGGGGTTTATGGTGTCCCATTTTATCAACTAAACTATTTTCTTTAAAAAAGTACATTGAATTTATTTGTTCGACCAAATCCTTTGTTTGGAATTCAAAATATCTATAATCTTACTAAAAAAATTGATAAAAAATGGTTAAATAAATATAAAGTATTAAATATTTAATTTTACAATGTCACCGAATTTAAAATTTCAAGATGATTGAATCTATTTGCTTTTCAATACAAATCAACGTTCCAAAATATCCCTAATTAACCTGTAATCTGTGTAACTAACCACCTTCCATTCCTTTTTAATCACGAAACACTCACCACTTGACTGGTAAAAAGTTATTCGAAACTAATTTATAAACCTCTAATTGCATTGGCAATGAAAACCAATTAATCAATCAGCTTGCATACAACAGAAACAAACCTATTTGGTACTTTGATTAATTGCTTAAGCTGGGACTCCTGTATAAAAATGCATTTCAAGAGTGGACAAAGCTGTCGCAAAGTAAAATCAATCTTCGTTCCAAAAAGTTTCCTCGCTTTTGCTTTTGACACTGACTTGGTCGTTTTTTTGGCCAAAGCAAAAGGTTGGCCATAATTGTCAGTGGCAGGATCTAGTTGGGTCTAGGATTGGGCGGAAAAAGTTGAAAAGGGTTGACTTCAAGACGTGATTTGGCGTTGTAAAAGGATATGTAAGGATTATTATACTTATATTTACAATGTCATAAATAAAACTGGCTTCTACATTAAAATATCCTTAAAATGCAAAAATTAAACAAAAAATTTGAATGATTATATATCATTCTTAAATTTCACACTATAAAATGACCTAAAATGCCGAAAATTCAATTTTCTCTTTGTTGACTTTGAATATAAGTAAAAGCATGTTACCTAATGCTCGATGAATTGAATTAAATTGAATTTCGTTCTGCATCCTTGAACCTTAAACATTTATATTCTTTATGAGTTTCTTTGGCTCTCATTTGAATGCCTGCTTTAATATGCCATCTAGCACAAAAACAAGAAGGCGGAATGAATGAGGTATTGTAGCCTGGTCTGGATGTTTTTGTTGTCGTCTGGCGAAGACACTTGAGACTGACATATAAAACATGTCTAGCTCGAAGTGCGTGAGTTTCTGTTTCTGCCAGCAAATTGTTTGCACTGGAATCAGCCATCCACGAACCCACCTAACCCACCCGATTTTCAGTCCGTTTCGATGGCCAAGCTCTCTGATTGTCACAGGCAATTTGATGCCTGATATTTTTACCATTTAGTTCAATCAATTTGTCACAATTTCCGGCAGAGCTCGCAAAACGAGAACGCAGAAAAAGCCCCCAAAGCCAGAACCTATTGAAATCTAATGGGACACACAGCTCCGTGACTTTAGAGGACGATGATGGGGTGGGTGGATTGGCTCGCAGGTCATTGATCAGATCTACGCGACAAAC